AAAAAAAAAAAAAAGTAAAGATGTAAGGAGAGAATGCACCAGACAAATGGACTTCCTCATTCTAAGAATTATGACTGTTTATACCTAAACAAAACAGACATCATGTTTTATGATTATTGTCCCTATACTTTGAATGCTTTACCTTTTAGAGTAAAATCTTTCACTTACTTCCCCTCACCCATCCTACTCCTGTAAAACTCCTCCAATAATAAATACACATGTCTCCTGGCCATCAGGGCTGCAGTCTTGAGCTTACTCTGGCTGTAGCCGGCTGAGAACATGCTAAAGGGCATGAGGTCTCAGTCTGATTCCTATTCACCCGTGCCGCCTTCCTGTGTACCCACCCCAGCTGGAGCACGGCTTCCAGCAGGACTAGGGGATCTTCTAAAAGGAACTATAATATAAGACTTTCTTCTGCCATTCCATTTACTGGCTAGGCTGCCCCTTGGCCAGACCAACCAGAAGTCAGTCAGCAAGAAAGCCCAAAAGATGCAGTGTGTAAGGGTGAGAACAGGGCCAAGAACAGACTGAGAAGGACAGAGTGGATAGAAACTAGTACTGGGACCAGCAGTTAGCGTAATGGCTGTGTCGCTGGACTTCCATGTAGTCGACCACGGTTCAAGTCCTGGACCCGGCGGCTTAAATTCACGCCGGGGGCGTATGCGTGCGTGTCCAAGATCCCAAGAGGAGACTACATTGCAGCATGGCCATCCCCCTGGGGGGTGATTTCTCGCTTTCTCGCTTTCTATCTCTCTGTCTCTCTCTGTCTTTCTGGCGAGCGCATGTGCCCTGTAGCGAAAACCTCTCCAAAAATAAAGAAAGAAAGAAAGAAAGAAAGAAAGAAAGAAAGAAAGAAACTAGTACTAAAGCCTAATGTCTTATTAGCAACATAGTTCAAATATCTAATATCAGAAGATTTCACAAAATATAATAGGAATATTGGATATTATTAGGTATACTGGTAATATTGGATATTATTAGGTAAACTATTAAGAAACCTCATTTTCATTTTTTTTTTGAGAACAAAACCACATAGCAAATGAGTTTAAAGATAATAAAGGCTGGGGATGCCAGCAGGTGGCATGGTGGTTAAGGCACTGGACTACCATATGGCTGACCGTGGTTCAAGTCCCGGACTGGAGAGCTTGAAAATCACTCTGGGCACATGTGCATGTGTGCCCAAAATCCTGACAGGAAAATAGAGGAGAAGGGATGACTGTGGCATGGCCATCCTCCTGGGGATGCTTTCTTACTTTCCCTCTCCATTGTCTCTGTCTCCTTCTGTTGAGTACAAGCGCCCTACAGTAAAACCTCCCCCCATCCCACCCAAAAAAAGGGGAAAGGGGGAACCAGCAGCTGGCGTAATGGCTATGTCGCTGGACTCCCACATAGTCGACCGCAGTTTGCGTCCCGGACCTGGTGGCTTAGAACTCACGCCGGGCGCGTGTGTGTGCGTGCCCAAGATCCCGAGAGGAGAATGGAGGAGAAGGGATTGCGGCATGACCATCCCCCCTGGGAGGTGATTTCTCGCCTTCTGTCTCTATGTCTCTCTCTGTCTGGCGAGCGCACACGCCCTATAGCGAAAACCTCTCCAAAAAAAAAAAATAAAAAAAAACAAAAAAGGAAAGGAAAGGTAATCAAGGCTGGGACAGCCAGTGGTGTGGTTTTTAAGGTGCTGGATCCCACATGACTGACTGCATGGCTCCAGTCCTGATGGCTTAAAAACACACCAGGCCCAAAATCCCAAGAGGAGAAGGGACTGTAGCATGGCCATACCTCCTGAAAGGTGTTTTCTCATTCTCCCTACACCCCCTTGTCTATGACCTACAGCATAAAAAATGGGAGATAATCGAGGCCACAACTGACTAACTTCTGGCTGTGATAATGCAAATTAATGCCAGCCCAAAGGCCTTGAACATAAAAATCAAAACCAAACTTATTTTGAACAAAGAAAATTGTTAACAGTATTGAAAATCTATGTCATGTAAGTACTAGAAGTCATGCTTACGGATACCCTTGGGTGGCAGTGACTGGGATGGAGCAAGAGAGACTTTAACAGTAACATGTTACTGTTGTTAACTACTAACGTTGTTTCTTGATCTACATGCTAGTTACACAAATGTATCCATGTTATAAAAATCCACTGATTGGTGCACTTGTGATTTGGATGTTTTTGTATCGGTATATTTAAAAACAAAACAAAAACTTGAAATCAAACAAACAAGGGACAGCAGCCATGAATTCAACTTAAAAAAACAAAACAAAACAAAACAAACCAAACAGCCAATATGTCAATTTATTTTTTTATGCCCCACTTTAGGCATGGCCTCATTAATAGCTAACAAGGATTTACTGGAATATCCAAAACAATGTTGTGTATTTAACAGAAATGAAAGACAAAGCTTAACTTCAAGGAATTTGTGATCTGCTTAGGAGAACTGAGTATTTAGACATAAAATTAATAATATTAACAAGTGGACTAGCAGGTGGCATGGTGGCTGAGAAGACAAGATCCCACCTGGTGAAGCAGTACAAGCCCATGACCAAGAGGATTAAAAAACGAACTGGGTACATGTGTGTGCATGCCCAAAATCCCAAGAGGAGAAGGCACTGTGGCATGGCCATCTCCCCCCCCCCCCTGCTTTCTCACTTCCTCCTCTGGTGAGTGCACGCACCCACAGCAAAAACAAAAATAAACAAAAAGAACATTAACAAGTGAAATATCAGACAATGAGGAATGCTATAGTCAAACAAATCCAACACTGATATTTAACTGATTCTCATGGGAAGACCTTGACAGAAATACTCCTAACATGGGCTTTACCTGGAGATCTTTTTCTCTTTAACCTTACCAAATGTCAGCTAGGTCAACTAGGCCAAATGCTTATGGACCCTGCATTTAAACCTACAGAGCGTAAAGAGCCACAAAGCCATGAAGATAGCTAAGCTTCTTCTCTCTTCTGACCCGTACTTACTAGGAGACAAAGTAATAGAGGGAAGGTGATTTTGATACTTTACTACTGAGGCAATAAAGCATAGAGCATAGACCCAGAGGATGATTTCTGCATATTATAAGATTTGTGTCAGAAAAAGAGAGATATCTGTGGGTGGCAAGAACAAAGGGATGCCAAAGAGGCAGCTAAAATCCCAAGAGAAATAGCTACATGGTGCATCTAAGAAGACAGGCATTTCCACAAAGATCCCAGACCCTGACACGTGGACAGAAGCACTAAAGAACCTCTGGATCTGAAGGGATCTTTTGGCCAGGGATGACTGCTATCTCAGCAGTAACCCTTGACTCTAATGCTTCACTCCTGGCTCAGGGAACTTTAGAAAAATCTGGAGTTAAACATTTCCCCACCCAGGTGTATGGGGGCCAAAGTGCAAAATGCAAAGGAGTTACAGAAAAATCAAACTTATATTTCTTATAGATCCAAGTCTGAGACCTATTTACTTTTTCTACACGTGTAATAATATTTTGGTACACAACACAAGAGTTTAAGGTTTTGCAAATAGAAAAAGAAAAATGAGAATACATTTTTGTTTTATTTATCTGGTTCCATCAGTACAAGCTGCTCCATATAAATGAGTTTCCTGAATGAGTAAAGAGTCTATACTATTAATACAAATGACTGATCTTGACATCTGTTAATGAGATTAGAGAACCAGTGTCCTATTCTAAATTACTCCCAGACTGGTGTACTTTTACAGTTTTTGTGTCTTTCTTTACTTCTTAAATTGCTTTTTTTACTCTGGTAGTAACTGTCCATAGTCTGGTAGTAACTGTCTCTGCAGAGCTCAGTGCATACGGTTTGAGTTATCTTCTCTCATTTTTTTTCTTTTTTTAAAGATTTTTGCCACAGGGCTTGTGTGCTCACGGAGGGTGGGGGTATATAGTGAGAGGGAAAATAAGCACTCATTCTCCAAGAGGATGGCTATGCCACAATCTCTTCTCCTCTTGGAATTCTAGGCATGTACGCACATACACCCAGCATGATTTTCAAGCTGTCAGGCCCAGGACTCGAACCGTGGTTAGCCATGTGAGAGTCTAGTGCCCTAATTATGCCACATGCTGGCCTCCCTCTTTCTTCTTATTCTGTGTTCTGTTTCAAATATATCTTGGGTTGGAATATCAGAAAACCAAGCATATTTAACTGTGCTTACATGAAGAATCAAGAGGTACTGAGTGGAGATCTCAGGGTTCATGAGTGTGGGTCTGGTGATTTTACAGTCTGTTCTTAGTTTCTACCAGTCCTAGCTACATTCCTTTGTTCTTTCTTTGTTTTCTTTTTGAATTACTTATTGTATTTATTATTACTGTTATTAGTTTTTAATTTTTTAGAGGTTTCTGCCTTAGGGTGTGTGCACTTGCTAGTGAGAGAGACAGAAAGAGACAGTGAGAGGGAAAGTGAAAAATCACCCCCGCCCCCAGGGGGGAGGGCCACACCACAATCCTTTCTCCTCCATTCTCCTCCTGGGATCTTTGGCACACATGCACATGCACAGTGTGATTTTGAAGCCACCGATGGGACTTGAACCAGTCGGCCATGTGGGAGTCCAGCAACATAATGCCACACCACCTGCTGGCTTCCATGTGTGAATTTCAAGCTACCAGGTCTGGCACTTGAACCACAGTCAGCCATGTAGGAGTCCAGCGTCTTAACCATCATGCCACCTGCTGATTCCCAAGCTATCTTTTTGAATTTTAAAGTTTGGAGTTTCAGTGATTGCTGTGGGTGAGCAAGGAAGAAGGTAAGTGGCCCTCTCCCCTGCTTCAGTAGGATTACCCTTGTTTTATCTATTTTATACTATGACTAGAATAGTTAGATTTCATTTAACAAAAGGATTTCGCTGCTGAAACAAGCTTGAAAATCACTCTTCCAGAAATCTGATCTCTTGACTTACGTAGCTCAATTGATGTATGTTATAGTTGCCAACATTCAAAAAAATCTCTGAAACTCCAAAAATAGGACCTGTTTTCAAAAGGAAATGAAAATTACCTGAAGTAAAGGGATGAAATCTTCCTGTTCTAGAGAGCTACAGCTGGGCTTTGCTAGAAGACAGATGAACTTAGAGGCATCATCGTGATGGTTATCCAGCAACCTAGGAAAAAACACAACTGCTTAGGAAGACAAACGATGAACACAACATCAATAGTTGGTGATTTCAGCTTGATCTAAAGGCCATTTAGATCAAGAATCAAATGCTGTCTTTTTAGTGATTTAAAAAAAATTTTTTTTTTTTTTGCTCTTTTTTTTGGGGAGAGATTTTTGCTATAGGGTATGTGTGCTTGCTGGAGGGACAAAGAGACAGAGAAACAGAAAGTGAGAATTCATCCTCTGGGTGGATGGCCATGCCACAATCCTTTCTTCTCTCTTCTCTTCCTGGGACCTAGGGCATGCATGCACATGTGCCCAGTATGAGTTTGAAGTCACTAATCTGGGACTCGAACCATGGTCGGCCATGTGGGAGTCCAGTGATGCAACAACTGTGCTATCTGCTGATCCCTTTTTTCTTTTCTTTTTTTTTTGATAAATTTTTTGCTATATGGTGCATGCGCTTGCCAGAAAGAGAGAGAGACAGAGAGACAGAAAGCAAGAAATCACCTCCCGGGGGGGATGGCCATGCCACAATCCCTTCTCCTCCATTCTCCTCTCGGGATCTTGGGCATGCACGCACACATGTCTGGCATGAGTTCAAGCCTCCAGGTCCGGGACTCAAACCATGATCAACTACATGGGAGTCCAGCGACATAGCCATTACGCTAACTGCTGGTTCCAGCTGATCCTTTTTTCTCTCGATTTTATCAAAGGAACATCTTACTAATAGTACTATAACAAGGTGTATTATTATTATTATTATTATAGAATGCTTCTGAGGCTGAGATCACAGAATCAATTGAACTATTGCAGGTAAAATAGGTTGAAATATATCTGAGATAAAACACACTTGAAGGAGAAAGTCTATTTGGTTCAGCAAAGGACATCTGGAACCAGAGTTCCAGAGCCTGCTAGAAAGGAACACATCAGATGGATTACTTGTATTACACGAGACATAAAATGCCATGCAAGTCAGTCAAGACAAGGTTCCACTCTCCCTTTTACTAAAGAGAGGTATAAACTAACTTATTTGCAAAAAAAGGTTAATCTCAATTTGATCTGTTATTTGCACAAAGCCCAGTAAGAATTCAATTTCTGATGCAAGGCAACCGATACTATTGTATTATTGAACTTTTGCGAATAACCATTCTGCCACAAAATAAGAATGCTTACAAATATTTTCCAGTTGCAAAGGGGTTTTGAAAGGAGAAAAGTTTATGTTTCAATTAAAAAAATTCTTTTTCTTTTTTAACAAATTGCTGAACCCAACAACTCAAAAGAAAACAGAAATCATTAAATCTGGAAGACAAAGTACAGAAGAAAATCTGTAATGTTTTGGAAAAAAGTCACAGAATTCTATTTCACCAGTTCAGTTCACGTAGTCTTTCACTGAATTTGCAGTGTTACTGTGGTCTGACCCTTCTGTTAACATTCAACATTATTATTGATATTTCAGAACTTGTCCCTATCATTAAGTTGGCCTTCCTCTTGGTCATTTTTTGTTCTCTTATTTATCTGTCTTTAGTTTTCCTGGTATAGTAACCCCTTCAGAATGTCTAGAAGAGCTGGTCTGGTGATGGTAAATTTTCAGGTTTTGTTTATCTGAGAATGTTTTTATCTTTTCTTCCCATTTGAAGGTTAATCTTGCAAATATAGTATTTTTGATTGAAATTGTTTTTCACTTAACACTTTGAATATATTTTCCCATTCCTTCTTTGCTCACATTGTTTCCGACAAGGGTCTGATGTTAGCTTGATGGGATATCCTTTTTTGCTCTTGCCAATTTTAGTATCTTATCTCTTTCTGCGGTTTTGGTCAATCTGGCTCTGATGTGCCTTGGAGGAAGATCTTCTCGGCTTGATTCTGTCTAGGGCCTTTTGTATTTCTTGGGTCTGGATATTTCAATGTCTCTTTAGGTTTGTAAAGTTTTTTTCCAGGATTTCATGGAATAGATTATCAATGCCTTTATTAGTTTCTTCACCTTCTGGGATATCAATTATCTGGATGTTTGGGCACCTAATGGTATATAGTATTACTCGTATATTATTCCTTTTTTTTTTTTGGTTATTTTTCTCAGTCTTTTTGGTGAATTTTTCTAGCTCAGAGGTTCTGTCTTCTACATCTGAGATTCGATCTTCTGCATGATCTAATCTGCTTTTAATACTTTCAAGGGAGGTTTTGATTTCCTGTATTACAGCCTTCATCTCTAATTGTTTCGTTTGATTCTTTTTTTTATGGTGTATATTTCCTCTTTCAGATCATGGAAGAACTTCCTCACCTCCTGGAACTCATTGTCTCTTTTCTCCTGCATTTTTTTTGAGTTTGTCGTCTCTCTTCTCTTGCATCTCTGTTAGCTTTGTCACTATGAATATTCTAAATTCTTTTTCTGACATTTCCTCAAGTTCCATTGTACTGTCTGTGGATGATGAAGGGGTTGTTCTTTCCCCATGGGGGAGAGAAGGTTTTCTTGATTTCCCATATTTTTTGTGCCTCTGTGGTAGTGGTTTCTGGTCATCTGATGGATTATACATTACTTCCTACCTTCTTGGAGTTAATTCTGAGTGTTAGAGGCATGCATAAGGAGATGGCCTGGCTTTTCGCTGGGTGTTGGGCCAGAAGGAGAGAAGTGGTTTAGGGCAGAGCGTCTTTTTTTCTATTTCCTTTGAGGTTTTGCTTCTTCACAACCTTCAACACTGATAGCCTTGATGATCCGTCTCTGCCAACTGATGTCCCTCTCTCCATGGGCTCTCTACACTGACTCATCTCCTACAGGCCTTCCTCCACCACTGGAGGTGAGCCTGCAGCACCTGGCAGGGCTCCCTCCTTGCTGCTCCCTGTGGGTCCAGCTGCAGCTGGGCTCTGGGTCCTTCCTGGAGCAGAGGGTAGCTCGGTCATCCCGGGAAACCCTTAGCCCTCTCCAAGCTGGGGCGTCTTAGGTTGCAGCTACTAGAAGGGTCCCTATTTTATGATTATATTTTATACAATCAATTGCTATACTACATTTAGCTTATAGAGAGAATTTATCCAACATGAAATACACCTCAGACCAGTCCAGCTGAGAATGCCATACACATTATCAACAGGTAATAAACCATTTCTGTGTCCCACAAATGTCTCACTTCTTTATTTTTCTCCCTAATTTCTTTCAAAAAAAATTGTTCTCCCTAATTGCTTTCCCTATGCTTTTCCCCTCTCCTACCTTCCTTCTACACTGTCTCCAGTGTCCATAACTACTTTTAGTGCTTTTATGTGGTCCAATCTTTAAGTCTCTACCATAGAGTGTGGATAGTCAGTATATGTTAAGTGGAGACATACAATGTCTCTTTTTCATAGCCTGACTTGCTTTACTCAGTAATAAATCTAAGACATAAAATTCTGTTAGTCCAGGTTGACAGACATATTCAAGACCAATTTGATGGGCGGGGGAGAGGTTTTTAAAATTAGACCTTGGAAGAACAAGCTTAAAACAATGAATGCCTTATTAAGTCTTTTTAGGTCCCAGAATTCCTTATCTGACTATTTGATGGTGATTTCCATTGTATACCATATTCTGAAAGCAAAGTTACAGTATTTAAAACCAAATTTAAAATCTTCCTCTCAAAGTTAGTTCTTTTCTTGGATGTCTACTTTGTTAATGATGGTATTATCCATCCTGAATTATATGGGCTTGCAACTTTGCAGTCATCTTACTTTATTTTTTAAGTGTTTTATTATTTTTTTTAATAAAGATTCCTTCTGGGACAACTAGTGGCTAGATACCAAATGCACAGTTTGAGTCCTGGACCTAGTGTTTTACTGGTTGAAACACTGGATGTATATATGTGTGCATATGTCCAAAATCCCAAAAGGAGAACTGGAGAAGAGATCAGGGCAGGACCATCCCCTATGGTCAATTTCTCATTTTCACTCTCTCTTTCTCTCTTGGGTGAGCACACATGCCCTCTAGCAACTGAGACAGGATTGCCAAAAGATCTTCACACTACAATTCACCCCTAGTTTCAGCCAGCCCAGGATCATGGGCACATGTGACCATGTGGGCCAGCTTTGTAGAGTGTTGTGTTACTGCTGAGCCACTGTCCAATCCTTGAAGTCATTTTAATTTATTTCATTCTTATTGTCTACATCCAATTAGTCTCCATATTTTCTTGTTTGTCTTTCTTAATCATTAATTGGATGTTAACTGTGTGTGACATATTGTTCTCAGGCCTTGAGGATGCTTCGAATAAAAAGGAAATAAGACACAGTTTTATGTGACAGAACTACACTAACGAGATTATATCACTGTGGAACAGCCATGACAGGCAGAATAAGGAAGCACGAGATGTCATGGAAGGACACAGGAGGCCAGTGAGTTTTCCTGGCAAGTGAAACAGGAAACAGAGTGCTGAGATGTGAAAAGCAGGATGTACAAATGCCTGACGTGAGAGTGTATGGCATAACTGGGCAACAAGTGCAGGTTAAGAGAAGGGACTAAGGAGTAAGTATGTGATTATTAGAGCTATGGTATGACAATTTAATAAGTAAGATCAAATCCTGAAGACCATTTTATGTTAAATTGAGAAGTTTGGATTTTTGCCTCCTCCACAGAAGGATTTTAACTTGGGCAGTGCTAAGATCAGATGTGTTTTTTAGAAATATCAAGCAAGAAACAATGAGAGCCTGAACATGGATACAGGCAGTGAGAGATGTAGAGAACGGGACAAATTTGGTAGAAGCGAAAGGATGTGGTAGTTCATAGGTATGGGGAGTAGGAGGAGGGTGAAAGGAAGGGGAGTCTATGATGGCTCTTAAGTTCCTAATTTGGACCATTAGGTGCTTAGAGTACAGGATGGGAGACCTAAAGTCCTGATAAAATTTTCCAAAAAATATTTCAGACAACTGTTGCCTTCTTTTATATTTCTACCATGCCATCAAGCCCAGGGCCTCATTATTTCATGTTCAGACTGCTAAAACGGAAGAGGGTCCTAGGCCAGCTGGTGGAATGGAGATGGCAGCTAGATCCCA